TTTAGACATAAAATATATTTTAAAATAAAATAAATTGTATATGTGTGTGTGTATATACATATATATATATAACATTTATGAAAAGACCTTGAGTTTTTAGCATCAAAAATACCGTAAGGAGCCAAATATAGTTCTTCCCCCTGTGAGGTATTACTTGGCATCATTAATTAATTAATTAACTGATTAATTGTTTAATTTAATTACCTGTCACTTTAATCCCATCTACCTACTCCTGCATTGTTCTCACTTCTCCTTCAGTGCCTTCCTTTTCTTGCCCTCCCATCTTTTGCCTGTTGCCTCCTTGCTTCTCCCTCAAAACCCAAACCACAGACTGGTGACTGTGGAGGATAAGGATGGGGATACTGGTTGAACTGGAAGGTGGGGGGCACAGTTAGACTTTGTCTTCCCAAGAAGTCCACCACAGATCCTGCCGAGAGGAACTATGAAATCAATGATAAGAACTTTTATGAACTGCATTATTATTTGTATTGCCAGCACTATTTTCTAAAACTGTATTTTCTAGTAAATCAAAATACGCATTTACGAATGTCTTGGCCAAGGTCTTATACTTTAGGCCAGGAAACGACGAAGGCCAGTCATTTTCAATCCTGACACACCTCTGAATCAAGTCGGTCTTAATTAAACCAAAGTAGTCTTGCCTGAAGCACAAATGCTGGCATACCATTAATACACTTTTAAATTGTTTTTCCTCAGCTCTGGGCATAAAGGAAGCTTTAGCATCTGTCTCTGAATCTAGATCCAACCAAACCTGGGTCTCCAGACCGTGATCTTTGTGGACTCTTAATAAAGGTCCATGAAGGAAAATATCTATTGACAAAGCTGATTTTTGAAATACTGGGTGAGACTCAGTTAAACAGGGGTTTTTTTGTTGTTGGTTTTTTTTTTTTTCCTGCTAAACTTCTCTGAGTCATTAGCATGCTATGCCAGGCATGGAGGGGAGAAAGTAGCAAAGTCCCAAAGTTACTTGATCATGGAATCCCCACTCTTTTTTTTCAGGGCATCTGTAAGACTAGTTTCTATGGAATACATTTTGGAGAATACTGGTGAGAAGTATAAATTAATGCGAACGATTTCTGCATGAGAAATATGAACATTAAACACGACTCTTGTATAGGGGAAGGGGACATCCATGAAAGAAAACTCCAGGCACCCAAGATCCTTAGGAGGCAGATTTGAAATGAGAGCCAAGAGAAAGCCAAGTGAAGAGATCCTGACTTTCCCAACAGTGCAAGAGAGAAGACAGGACATCAGGTTCTGTTTATTAATTGAATCATAATTAATATGGATTTAATTATAATAAGCATAAGGTCAGAAGGATTTTCTCATGAAGAATAGAAGACTGTAATCTGTTTTTACATTAACAGGGTGGAACCAAACCTTTTAATTCTCATCTTTCTTGCAGAAATTAACTACCACTCACTTTCCATTGAAGTTCCATGTGATGGCAGCTCTAGGATCTTCAGCTTCAGCGTCTACTTAGATACATTGCTATTGAGACAGATGCCTTATGGGCATCTTTTTGTGTCTCCAGTTGCTACTGGTCAGAGCGACTGGTCAGGGTGACTGTTCTCAGGGCTGCTGGAGCTGCGACAGCTCAGTACGGATGGCAGATGAGCTCTGATCTGCAGCTCCTCTCCTCCATTCCTAAACTAGTGACTTCACACCTTCCAATTCCCTGTGAGTAAAACTGAACTAACTACTTAAATGGTCCTTTTGAAAATAGGTTCATTTATTGGCTTAATGGCTTAGGGTGCATTCTTTGTAAATTCAGCCCTAAGGGCCCAATCAGAAGATGAAATATGTCTGGCTTGGCCACTGCAGGAATTGATTAAAGGAGGCTCTTGCTTGCTTCCTGGTACTCTGCCAAACAGGAATTAAAATGCAGCAAGATGTTGTCCTCAGCTTTAGCAATTCCACTGAGAGGTTTTCCTCCCACTAAAGTGGAAGGGACTGAGGCCAGTTCAAAAGCAGCACCTCGCTTAAGAAACAAACAGAAAATAATAAAGGTTTTCAGAAAGGTGTTATTTTGAAACAGACCTATGTGTTTCCAAATATGGCCACCTTGCAGGGATTAGAATAAAAATTGTGTGGTGCAAAGACTGTCTGGCCAGGTAAAGTTGGGCAAGGTTACTTGGGGTTCTTCTTTCTCTGTAAAAATTGGGAGTAGGATTTGACCGTCTAGAAGGTATCCCGGCCACTAGGACTCTGTGACGGAAGCTGTAGGGAGTGAGCTTCCTTCTCTTTGTGGCTCCTGTTGAGACCAGAGGAAGTAGACATTCGCGACTCCAGCTGAAGCAGGGCTCTAAAGACCTCACCTGCCTCTTCTACCACCTATCCCATCTCTACTGTGATTATGAACTCTGCTTAGCTTCTCAGTTCAATCTAATCCACAGTGTTTGAGTGGACCCAAGCACAGAGACAGTAAAAGTTAGGACTCTGAGTTTCAAGTTCAGAAACCCTACTCAAACTGATTATAAAAGAACAGTCATAACAAGAGCAAGAGAGAGAGAAAGAGATTGATTTTATTGTCACTTGTAACTAAAAAGTACAAGAGTAAGTTTCCTTCAGGCACAGCTGTATCCAGGTGCTAATATGGCTGCAACAGCGTTTTCATATGGCTCTTTTGTCCTCTGGTTTGGATTTATTTTCAAGCAGGTTCTCCCTTCATGGGAAGAAAATGGCCACCAGTAGCTCAATACTTATATTCCAGTTTAGCAACCCCAATGGAAAGGGAGTGCTTCTTTCTTCCTCAGTCCCAAGATTCATTTAACATTCCTCAAATAAGTGGTAGGAGATACAGCAGTGGGCAAGACAGGTGAAGCCTCTGACCTTGCTGGTTGGCACCTCACTGGAGGAACTTAGATGGAGTGTGTATCCCTGAGTCCATTGCTTTGTTCAGAGGATTGGGATATGCTCTCTAGCCAGGTTAATCTTGAATGACTCCTGGTGCCATCCAGCAAAGCTGATATTTTGGAGGAGAGCTCTCCCTTGTCCCCAGTGTCTCACTATCTAAATGACACTTTCTGTCTTCATCATAAGGCTAGAACTGCATGGGGCAACCTCATTATCTACTCCAGTTTAGGAAGTAATGATAATGATAGTAAATGTTTATTGAATGGCTTTGCATACATTAACACGGGTAATCCTCGCCACAAACCAGAAGTTACATACTCTTTATGATGTCCATTTAAGGTGGAAGAAATGGAGGTACAGAGAGGTAGAGAATGTAACTGTGGTGCCCAGGCTATAGGGAACTGTGAGGCTGGTACTTACTGAGGATAACCTGGCAGTTACTACTCCTTTCCTCCCATCTGATTCCTTTCCCATAGCAAAAGGAGAAGGTGACCTAGAGAGAGTTCAAGGGAAAAAGAGGGTCATCCTTTCTAAGCAGCAACTGCATGAGGTGTATTTCACCTCGTGTAATAGGTATGTTTCTAAAATGTCTTTGAAAATCTCCCTTCTGCAAATCAATTCCTCTTTTCCCTTTATAGTTTTTGATAAAACACCCGATGAGTATCATAGACTCTTTCCCTTTAATGGAATTTTCTTGAATGGATGATGACTTGAAATAATTGGACACTGTTTGGAGCTTGGGAGTCTTTTTATGAGATGGTGGTTTCTGTTACAATGGGTGCTGGTTAAAAATGGGTTCTCACCTATAAGCCATCTAGCTCACCCTAACTGATAAGTTGACTCCGTCTTTTATGACTGCTGTGCTTGTGTTCTTATAGAATTGGCCACCCTCTAATTTACTCAAAAGTAATAGTATTGATTTGCACCAGTTTTGTGGATTTTTAGTATCTTTTTCCTCAGCTAGGAAACATACCAGTTTCTTCCTAGCCTATCTGTAAAGGTCACTTGTATTCTTGGGATGCTTTTACTAGAATGAACTTGAACTAAACATCAATCAATGTAGTGCTATTCCTGACTAGGTTTGGTGAACCCAGGTGACAGCATCATCTTGAAGTGGCCAATTACTGAGCCTCTCAACTAGTTAATGATAGAAAAATGGGGGGAAGTAGATTGTTAGATGCCCACTGGCTTTGACTTACTCTTTGAAATATTGATTCTAACAACTGATTTTTGTATGTTATTGATACAGCAGACCATTTGGATGTGCAGTAAGCCAGCCACCAGATGTGAGGTACTAACCCAGATGAGTAATCATTTTGTAATAGATACATTAAAATAATTTTGTACTTCCTAAGACTTTTAGAAAAGGCAGACAGAGGTTTTCAAGAAGAACTGATGTTTGTCAGTGGACTAGGAAAATGAAAGATATATCCACTCTTCCTTTAAGAGTTGATGTTTCTTGGAGCTTTGGAAACAGAAGACAAAATGCCTTTGACCATCAGGTCGTCAATTTCAGAGGCTGTTGTTTTCTGGGTAGAGTTCAAGATTTGTTATGTTTGACAGTCATTGGTAGCTTCCTTCTGAGTAGAATAGATTTCGAAATTACAAACCACCAGGCAAGCATCAAACTGAATGTGAAAATCAATGACCCATCACAGTTACAAGCATGTAGATGGCCATGGCATGGTGAGTAGACCGTTTCAGAGAAGGAAGTGCTTGAGGAAGAACAGACAAGGGCGGCTTTATTGACCCACTTCTTATCTCTGCCTTCTGCTCCTACCACCCTGACCTGCCATTGAAATGTGTCCGTGAATTTAAGTCAAGTGATAACCTGTGACTAATCTGTACGCAGCTTCTAAGCCACTTCCTCTATTTCAGTTAGCAGAGGCATCTGCCTTCAACAACTGCCCTCCCTTCACAGAATCCCTCCTGCCATCTCATTTACATACGGGCTCATCCTTCCAACAGCTTCTTGTAACCCTGAAGCTCTGTTGGCAAGAAAACGGAGTGCTATTTTTTAAGATCTTCAACTGGAAGCTTGTGGCTGCACAATAGGAAAATCCAACCTTCTTTTATTATTATTTGTAACAACGGCTACTGTTTCTGTTATGGAACCAAACTCGGGTCCGCTTGCCCATGCAGTATAGCCAACCTACTGACACAGGGACGTGGTGAAGGAAAGTGCAGCATTTATTGCAGGGCTCCAAGCAAGGAGTCCAGGATGGCTAGTGCTCAAAAAGCCCCAAATCTCTGATGGGTTTCAGCAAAGCATTTATAAAGGCCAGGTGAGGGAGCGGGGTCACAGGGTACGTGTTCAGCTCGTGCGCAGTTCTGCGGTTGGTTGATGGTGAGGTAACAGGGCCGTGTCATGGGGTTAACATTATCCATCCTTAGGCGCCAGTAGGTCTGGGGGCTATTGCTCATGATCATCAAGTAGTTAATTTCTTCCACTGGTGGTGGTTTTAGCATCTGTAAACCAACCCAGGAAATGTGCATCAGATACTGTTTCCTGGGTACTTCAGACAGGAGCTACCGCAGAGGATATAGGGGAGGGGTCTGTTCTGGGAAGGCCCCATAGGGTCCTGTGACATTTCTGTGAACACTTTCTATTTGCAGGCACTGTGGTAGCATTTTTAAACCTTGTCTCATAGATTCTCTGGAGGTGTCTGTGAGGTAGACATCGTTCCTCCCATTCTACAGATAAGGAGGAAGAGCTTCAGAGCAATTAATTTCTTCAAAGTGATTTAAGACCAGGTGTGTACTCTCAACAACAGCACAAAAATTAAGTTAGAGAGTTACAGTTTTCACCTAGAGATGAGTGTCTCTCTCAGAAGGAATTGGGAAATCCCTCTTTATGAGATCCTTTAAAAATTTGTTTTTAAATAAGTGTTTATTTTAGAATACTTTGAAAGAAAAGTTGCAAGGATAAGACCGAGAGTTCCTTTATACCCTGACCCCAGTTTCCCCTGCTGTTTACGTCTTACATTGGTTTGATACATTTACATAGTATGATACACTTTTCACAGCTAATGAACCAATATGGCCACATTATTATTCACTAAATCTCCATAATTTATTTGTATTTCTTGAGTTTTTGCCTGATACCCTTTTTCTTTCTCAGCATCCCATCCAGAATACCACATTTCACTTAGTTATCATGTCTCCTTAGGCTCTTCTAGACTTTGACAGCTCCTCAGACTTTGTTTTTGATGACCTTGACAGTTTTGAGTAGTAGTGACAGATATTTTGCAGAATATCTATTAATATGGGTTTATCTGATGATCTTCTCTGGTATCTCAAGACTGTTACACAAACACATGATAGCTTCACCAGGAGAACTTCTTGAACTAGCTTTAAATTGTCAGAGCCTAGGCGCACAGATGAGGACAGGAATTTAGGCAAAGTATGCATATGTACAGCAAGGACAACTACATTCTTTTGGGTGAATGAATGGGACACATTTCATCAGAAATCCTTCACCCCAGAAATCTCTCTGTCTCTCTCTCTATCTCTCTCTCACACACATACACACACTGTGTGCCAGATATTTATGAGAAAGTTAGAAATTTACAGAATAATAAGGTGGGTGAAGCCATGATTTCAGTTAATGATAAAATTGTCATTGTAAATGGCATGTTTGTGGCCAAGAAAAACAGATGTCCATATAACAATTTGGAGCCATCCAATGCATAAAGCAATTTGTAGGTAATCTGCTAAGCAGTTATAGTATCAAAATGTATTCATTGTCAGTTGGACATACATCCAGGCTGTATGTCTAATTGACCAGTTAATTTCCAGTCTGTCTCAGGAGCTACTAAACATGGTTTAAAATGGAGCCCTTGGTACTTCACCTAATATTGATGAACAAAGGAACAGATTCCTCAGCATGTTCAAAGTACAGAGAGTTCAGGGTGCTGTGTTCTGTATGTAAAATCAGGTACCTCGTCAAGCTGTTGTTGACTCAGTCTGAATTGGTAACGCAATGGTGAAACAATGTATCATCCCATTTAAATGGCTGGCAACTGAAACTATTGTAAAAAAGAAAAAAAAGACCTCTGTCACCAAGACTGGAGACAGAGAAAAAAACCTCATCAGGAGAGCATTTTATGATGGTTTTCTATAAAACACACCTGATTTTGGCCATTTGAGCAGATGACAAGGTCCCTCCCCATCTTTCTTCCCCAGCTCCTGGCTTCCAGGAGATTCTGTCTCAACTCTTGGTGTCCAGTTGAAAGTTCTTCTCAGTTTCAACACTGGACCATGTCCATTCTTTGTCTCCCACTTTGATAACTGCAAATAAAAAGAATGATTCCGATTTCTTTCTGAAAGACGAAAGAATATGCATTAGAATCAATAGACAAGATTCATTGCAAGAGGAACATGATCCTCTGAAGCAGCGGTCAAGGTGATTTTTCTAAGCACCCCACTGACAGCCATAGGCTCCTGTTTGCAGTTCTCTGCCACTGCTCCGCAGCTGCCCTTGGCTCCAGGTGTATCCATGATCCTGGAATGCAGCCAGAGAAAGAGCTGGAAGAGGTGGGAGTGCTCTGATGGTTGAGCAGTGTGAGGGCTTTATCCTCCCCTAAGGGCTCTAAATATGCTTCATGGCACTTGGTTTTTGAAGCGCCTCATCGTCTGGAAGCCTGCACCGCATCAGAAGTTGGAAAGCAGCCTGTTATTGATTGCAGCTGCATCCTTATTTGGCGGAGGAAGAAGGGTGTAGAAAGCAAATGTGGTCCCATTTGGCAAGGACACCTTCCAGGTGAGCAACAATCAGGAAAGATGTCTAGAGGCAAGGTTACGAGCCACAGAGACAGAACTGACAGGCCCAGGGTAGATAATAAGTGCCTTGTCTTTTAAAGGGAACCTTCCTCTCAGAAGTTTTGGGAACCAAAACCAGATTTCTGTGTACCTTTTACTTATTAGGTCCTAGGACAAGTGTGTGTGTGTGTGTGTGTGTGTGTGTGTGTGTGTGTGTGTATTATAAGCCCTTAACAAGCTTGCCTCGCCTCCACACACACTGGTGTTTCAGAGGCTCAGTGTATTTCACACGTCATCAAATGCTATCTCGCTTGTTAGAGAAAACAAGTATTCAAGTGTTTGTGCTTCTCCACATCTGAATTGGGCCTATAGGATCGTATTCGGGGCTTCACCGTGGAGGTGTTCACCACTCACAAAACCCCTGAAGATTCCTGAGATGATGATCTGCCCTTTGGCTGAAGCACACATTTACATTTTTTCCTGCAAAGTTTGAACTACCTGCTGAGTGGACGTAACTGCCGGAGCAGCAGGCACATCACGGGGAAGTTTTGTTGTAGAAGAACAGCAGCGCCTAAGGTAGAATCGTGACTTGATTTCTTTGTTGGAAACAGGAAGTCCTGAAATGTATCCATTTGCTGGATTGAAAATGGCAACGGAGAGAAAGTCAAGAGGACTTCCAGTTAAATGTGGAAGATTACATACAAAGTGTGTACCTTCTTTCCTGTTGTAAATGTCACTGAAACCGAGGAAGGGAATTTATCAAGTGGAAACTAATAAGAACCAAGAGAACAAAAGAAGAGACAATAGGAGGCAAAAGATAACAGATTTTTGAAAAATGGGAGTGGATTAAGGAGTAGTGACTGACTGAGCAAAGCAGAGGACGGTATGTGGTGTGCGCCCGGAGATGTCTCACTGCATGAGTTAGACACCCAGTATCTTGGGAAGCAGGAGAGAGGCATAGGATTGAAAGCAGGTGGATTGATAGAAAATGTACTATGCATCTGGATTCCCAGGTTTTTTTCCCGGTCCTTACAACCAGGTGTTTTCTCCTCCACTTGCCCCAGCATACGTGTGCGCACGTGCGCACGCACGCACACACACACACACACACACAGAAGTTTATTCCTTGGAAAAACTTAACCATAGGAACAGAACCAAGCAAAACAGAACTGAACTACAAAGTGGAACCAAGCATAGCAGAAAAAGTAAGACGTAGGTGAGGCTGAATTTGGGGCAGGGGAGCTAAGTGAAAGCCTGCAGAACTGAGAGACCCAGTACTAGATCTCCACAGACAAGCATACAGCCAAGTAAGAGATGCAAGGATTTGCCAGTAAAGAAACTGAACAGCTACAGAGAAAAGTCTTACAGATATTGGTACGCAAAGACCCTGAAATGTTTTCACTCAGCTCACTGCTCAATCACCCTACGGTAAAGACTGCCAGTCTACAAGCCCCACCTACTTACACAAAATTGAAGTTTTAGTGCCTCCTCCAAATATTGCCTAACATTTGAGGAAAAGCTTCAGCATGAAAGACTGAGGCCAGTATAACAGACAGAAGAAAGGAACTGGGATAAGAGTGATGTGAGTGGAAAAAGAAATGCTGAAGAAAATACACACATACACACACATTTACCTCAGGGAGATGCAAGGATATATTGCCTCCCTGCCCTGGGAACAGGAACAATCAATTAAAAAAAAATGATTGCTAAAATTAAAAATTCAATTCAAAGTTTTGAAAATAAAGTTGAGAAAATAGTCTAGAAGACAGAATCAAAGGACAATGAGAAGAAAATTCAAGGAAAAAATATAAGAAAATTAGAAATCCAATATTACATTTAAAAAATTCAACACATAGAAACTCCAGAAGAAAAGTGAGTAAATGAAGAAGTAATACAAAAAAATTGCCCAGAACTGAGTAACATCAGTTTCCAGATTGAAATGGCTCATGGGCAATGCCCAACACAGTGAATAAAAGAAAACCCACACCAAATACAGTATGATAAAATTTCAGTTACCGGATATACAGAGAAGATCCTAAAATCAGAATGAAGTTGGCTCAGAAGACAACAAAAGGACATTACAAACATTCCGAGGAAGCATGTCTTCACCTTCAAATTCCAAATCCTCCCAGGTCTTTTTTTTTAAAGATGTCTTTTTTCTTTTTTTGATGTGGACCATTTTTTTTTTTTTTTTTTTGGGGTACGGGGCCCTCTCCTGCTGTGGCCTCTCCCGTTGCGGAGCACAGGCTCCGGACACGCAGGATGTGCAGGCTCAGCAGCCATGGTTCACGGGCCCAGCCGCCCCGCGGCACGTGGGATCTTCCCGGACCCGGGCACAAACTCGTGTCCCTTGCATTGGCAGGCAGACTCTCAACCACTGCGCCACCAGGGAAGCCCGATGTGGACCATTTTTAAAGTCTTTATTGAATATGTTACAGTATTGCTTCTGTTTTCTGTTTTGGTTTTTTGGCCGCGAGGCATGTGGGATCTTAGCTCCCCAACCAGGGATTGAACCCACACCCCCTGCATTGGAAGGTAAAGTCTTAACCCCTGGACCGCCAGGGAAGTCCCATCCTCCCAGGTCTTGATCAAGTGAGAGAGTAGCATTAAAAATATTTTCAGATATGCAGGGACTCAAAAAGCTTACCTCCTAGGCCCTGTTACTCAGAAAAGTACTGGAAGATGTGCTCTTGCTAAAACAAGGTAGTAAACAAGAAAGCTCAAGACATGAAACCAAGAAATAGGCCACTGAGTATAAAATGAGATGAAGAGAAGTCCCAGAACAGTGAGAGACCTGGCCTAGAAGGCAAATGCTCAGATTTGGGCAGGAAGATGAGGGCTCCAGGAAAGAGTTGGAGCTGATAGATTATCAGATGCATTTGACAACGTGGAGAATTGTGTGTGTGGGGGGGGAAGGGGTGGTAGAGTAGATCTTTCAGAGCTGTAGGGAAGAGGTACTGATCAGCACATAAGAAAATTAATCAAGTAAAAAAAAAAGACAACATAAACTCCAGGAAAAATAAAAAGAAAGGAAAATTTGCTGAGCAGAGAACAATATTCACATAGTCATAAAATATAAACACACAGTCTGACTTAACCAAAAAATGTGGATAGAAATAATTTTAAAGGACAGGCTTATGAGTGAGACTTTGTGTGTTAGTGTCTGTGAGGAGGGATGCTAGCCTTTATCTGCTGATATAAGTAGTCAGTGCCTCAAATTGATAACATGAAAAAATAAAATCAGTGCATTATGAAATTAAGGAGGTATATTCTAGAAAAAACAGCTAAGTGAGTCAAAAGTAGCTGCTGTTGGGAAAGAGAATAGATACTTTCTCTTATAAGCCCTTTTCTCCTATTTGGCTTTTAACGATGTTTATGTATTGCTTTGATAAAAATCAAAGTTCATTAAAAATAAAGAGCATGGATAAAATTTTTTAAAAAGGTATTGAATAGATCTATGCAACTGATGACTGGTTCTTATCCGCGGCGTAGAAGTCCAGGATAAATTAAAAAGTGGAATATGATGCATTTTTAAAAAAACAAGCATCTGAAGATGTCAGACTATTCAGTCATACTTTGCTGAATTTTATTGGGGCAGGAAGCAGAGAGTATGTTATAATGACCTTTTTGCATTTGGAAATTCTTGAAGATCTCTGATTATATCCCTATGAATGTCAAAGATTTATTGAACTAAATCAAAACTAACAAAGCAAATAAATTATGAAGAGATTTTTTGGCATTAGGGAGAATTCCTTTGTTTTTTGAAGGGTTTGTGAGAATTCCTTTAAATAGCAGTCTCCTCTGGTACGCTGAAGTTTTAGTAGATATCAACCTCTAGCAAGAATCTAGGGAAGATCAAAAGAAGAGACACTTAAATCTAAAAAGCTAGGAGTTGCTGCTGTTCCTTGATTTCTCAGGAGATAAGATAAAGCAGCTCTGGCACGCAGTGTGAGTTAACAGGAAAAGACTTTCTTCGCCAAAATTTGACATCTGTGCCGCTTGTGAGGAGCAGACCCACGGCTTTATTAAGCAGGGTGCATATTTACAATCGTTGAGTGCAATGACCAAACATGTGAACTCTTCCCAGCTTGACTTGGAAACTGCTGAGATTAAGAAACTTCCAAACCACTGAAAACGTTTTTTTAAAGAAAGAAAAATCAATCCCCTTGAACAGAGCTAAAGGTGAAATTTACATCACTTTGGAAAAATTTCTGGCCCTTCTTGTTGCAAAAATAATGTAACTGTGAGAGTTGCCTTCACTGGCAGGAAAGTAGCAACCGGTACTGTCTTGAGGAAGTAAACACAAAGGGTAGGTCGTCTTGAAGCCTCATTCGGCAAAGCTCGCTTAAGACTAGGTCCCCAGGGCTCTGTGACAGAAAAAGCCAGCCCCTTTTCTGTCACCTGAGCCTGAAAATTCATCCGCAAGTGATAAGATGACAGAGCTGGTTAAAGAGCGAGGCTGAGAACAGCTCCCTCTCGGTGCATTTTCTCACCTTTGTTGACTTATAGAAAGCTACCGCCTCTGCCATCAGTACCTCCAGCACATCCTAATGTCTACTCGAGGCATCCCCATCCCCACCCCCGGGTGGGCCGATGCATCCAGTTCCCCCAGAGTGTTTGGGGAAAAGGAGAACAAGAAAATCGAAGCAGCAGCCTCTTTTGTTGCCGTTCCAGAACAGAAGGACATTTCAGAGTCTTTAAGGCATCTCACCAGGGAGAGAAGATTCCAGTGTAGCAGGAAGGAGGCCGGCAGTGTTCTGCGGCAGATTTAGATTTACACAGGGCCGGTGAGAAACAGCCGCTGGCTCTGTCGGTGCCCAAAGGACGTATGAGCCCTGAGCGGCAGCTGGGCAGCCTCTTTTTGCAGGGAACCTAGGAAGAGGCCTTCCCGCCTAGTTTCCCTGTGAACCTGGGCAGCCCCTCCTTCCCCCACCCCTTCCCTTGCTAATTTCAAAGGCCCTCACAGATGCCAAGGCCAGCAGCCAAAGCTGGCTGAGAAGGTTCAGCAAGAGAAGAGCTCGAATGATTCGGGATGACGATTCCTTCTCCTTCGTCTGCTGGGTATTAATAATAGTCACTGCTTCATGGGGTTGTTTTGAGGATTAAAGGAGTTATTGATTAAGTGGAAGATGATTAGAAGGAGGTGTGACCCAAAGAGTGCTAGCCGTCTTTAGTCATAGTAGCTGTGGCAGTATTCAAAAGATCAGCAAGAACGTGAGAGATGAAATTACACTTTATCTAAGGAGGCAGTTGGGTGACCAGATGACTCGATATTATCTGATTGAAGTGAAGTGTCACAGCTTTGAATGAGGACTTCTGTGCTGGAGGAAATGGGTCAACAGAGCCCTGCAGAGGAAGCCTAGAGAGGTTACAGAAACTGAACCCATCGGAAGTTGGCTATTGATTACAGAACCATTGAATGTAGGAGAATGTGTTACTAATTTATTCATTTATGAATATTTTGGAGACTTTGGTCCAAAGCCTTCTTGAACAGTTGAGAACATTGAGGGGTCAGGTTAGATCAACTTTTACTAAGGACATGCCCCCCAAGAAAGTAGGAGCCCCTCAGAAAGCCTTTGTCTTTCATTCCACAGTGTCCTCCTATGAAGAAAAAGGTTGCAGGATGGAAAGCCCCCTCTTCCTCAGTTTGTAGCCAGTTTTGAGCCTTGACAGTGATACAAGTGGGACACAGTCTGGCTCCTTTAAACAGAGGTAGAGCAGGTGATTTCGTTACACATGTAAAACTTGGTCAGGTATGCTACCTACCTCTTAGAATTGTGAGGATTCAAAGGTGCTTGACCCAGAACCAGGTAACTGATCAATAAATGTTGATTTATCCCCCTCCTGAGAGGGATTCATAGTAGTTTCTGTGGAATGCAAATAGTATTGTCAGAATTGAAATTTGCACACAGTACTCTCAGACTCCAGCGCCTGCTCCCAAACTCGACTATAATGTAGGCAACTGTGGTGCAAAGCAGAATCGAAGCAGAGAGAGAGAGGTGAAAAAGTTGTAGCTCTGTGTCCCAAGTACTGCTCAAATGCTCACATGAGATTCCAAACTTAAGAGAGTAAATTAAATTCTTAAGTTGGCACTGTGGTTGCAATGAGACGCTAATATATATTGCTTTTGTATCCATCCTGGACTGGTCTGAATTGCCAGTATCCTGTTCAGTGCACAGGGAGCCCAAGGGAGAAGCCCCGAGTGAGGGAGATTGGCCCAGGCGTGTTGGGAGGTAGAAAGTGGGAACTGGCTCCTGACCTTCAGCTGCGATTCCCCAGGCAGTCACTTAGCTTGTGAGAACCACAGTGCATTCAGCAAAAGTCTTCTTTTGTCAAGGATGAATGGGAAGAATCCCTCTGGAAAAAGATGGCAGCTGAAGAATAGAAGGGGAAATCAGGGCTCTTAATACAAGGAGCTGCAGAACTGGTACGCTGAAGAGGTGAAAAAAAACCTCTTATGTGCAATGAAACAATTTGCATCCTTGGAACAAGGCTGGATCCAGAAACTTCTAATACATGTTTCTGGAGATCTGGTGTCTTTCCCAAAAATGCATGTGCCCCTCCCCTACCATAGCTCAGCATTCATTCATGCAACAAATACTACTACATGCCAAGTGGAGTTCTAGGTGCTAAGGAAATGATAGTGTTTCATTGTTGTTTTCTTTTGTTTCAATGTGGACAAAGCTCATGGGTCTTATATTCTAGAGAAGACAGACAACAAACAAGGAAAGAAATAACATAATAAAATACCAGGCTATGGTGTGGAGAAAAAGTATGCAGGGTAAGACATAGGAAATGTTTGGAGATAGCTGTTATAAACTGGGCTGTCAGGGAAGGGCTTTCTGATGGATGATCTTTGATCAGAGAATGATGGGAATGAGCAAGCAGGTATCTGGGGAAAGAGAATTCCAGGAGATGGGACGGCAAGTGCAAAAGCCCTGAGGCAGACACGTGAGGGATGTGGGCTGGGGCTGGGGGTAGTCAGAGCAGAGAGAGCAAGAAGGAAAATGCAGGAAATAAGATCAGACAGAGGCAGGAAGCAGAGCAGGCGGGACTTGATGGTAGGGAAGCTTGACTTGTCTTCTGCGAGAAAAAGTCTCACTTCTCATTTATGTTTTAATAGTATCATTTCATCCAAGATGAAGGCCAGAATGTTTAGTTCTTAAACATTCCAAAAGGAACAGTTCATTAGTGCAGAAAAGGAGCCAGTAAAGAGGAGGGTACCTTGTAGGAGAGGTGTGTTTACATTCCTTCAAATTTGAAGTGAACATAATTCCTACACAATAGAGGTCTGCTTTCAAGCACGATAGGATAGCTGTCCATCAACCCCTCTCTGCTGTGGGGATACAAAAGGAGGAGAAATTGCACATAGAAAGTTCAAAATAAGCAGGGGTTTGTTTGACTAATGTCTGAAAAAGTCATATAAAAATTAACTAGTGTCGATGGCAGGGCAATAGATAAAGGAGGCAGGAGTCCAGTGGTTGGCCTGGGAAAGTCACACCAGTATTAAAAACTTCCTGGAAATGGCCCACAAAGTGGATAATCCACAGGTGAGTAACAAGCGACTGAAATACAACAGTTAAGAGAGCAGTTTTGATGAAACAACCTCCAAAGCTTTTTAAGTGATTGTTCAAAAGAAACCAAATTGGCTTGAGCCTCCTCCTAAAATAGGCAGGTATCTAGCAAACTATTGATATAATGATCTTGGGAGGTTAACACAAGCCTTGCTCTGGCCTTTTGCTTCTTGTTGCTCTCCTTGTAAAACCGTGGTCTCTGGAGTGTTGATTAGGAATAGCTTTGCTTTTAACGGTTCAGAATCCTCCCAATACTGTGGGCTTGATGTGGAGAAACACTTCGTATTATGACACCTTTGGACCTTTGAAGCTCCGAGCCACCAACGTGTACAGTCCTGATACCTCGACTCTTCTACTATCATCATTCTCAGTCCTGAAACACAGGAACTGGGTCTACAGAGCCCAGACTCTGGAATCGAGCTGCCCGTATTTAGACCTTGGCACTGAACCCTGGCTCTGTATTTACTGGTTGGGCTTGGATGTACCTAGATTTCCTCATGCATAAAATAAGGGAAAATAATAGAGTACTTGTAGGAGCTCAGTGTAAATACAGACACACACACACAGAGTAGTGTGTGATAAAAAGAGTTCCTTAACGCTAGTTATTCATATAATTAGTGATATCAGCTTATAGTTTGGTTATTTTTCTTTCTTTAATTCCTTCCTTCCCTGTTTTCTTTTCTTCTTCCTCCTTTTAAGATTTCTCTCTTGTTGTTTGTTTCTTCTTTTCCCTTATTACCATCATTAATCTTCATCCTGTCATTACTGTTACTGTATCCCAAGAATAGGCTGTAGACCCACTTGATTTTGGCAAATAATATGGCGGCATGATGGTGAGTGGAATGTAGGCGGAGTCAATGCTAGTACTTTACAGATGATACAGAGGCTAATAAACACACCCTCTTATAATCCCTGGCCCAGAAGGAAGGTGCGTGGAGGAAGGGGCAAGGGAGGGGAGGCGTGAAAGGGGAGGAAGGAGGGGGAAGGTGGAAAGAGAATAGGGCGAAGAAGAACCACAGAAAATCCTGAGGGGGACAATACCCACAATGTACAGAACATAAACATGAATTATTTCCTGAAGTGCTTTACCGTCTTATCATGGGGATAATTTATCCTTGATTATAAGCACTACTGCAGTTAACACTTCAACATAAATACGTGCATCAGGAAAACCTGCTTTTGTACGAATGAGGCCCTTATGGGCCACCATAAAGGTTGGGAAGATGTAAAAATGGAGTGGGAGGTGGAGACCAAGAGAACATTGGAAGCTTTAGGGAAATGGATGAGCAGGTTGATACAATATCAGCTAATGGGGTGCATCTGAGGCAGATAAAAAGAGCACTGACTCACAGGAGGAAAGTCAGAAAACGCTCCATCTTTGGGGAGCAGCCGTGTCATCTTGGCCATGACGAGCTACAGTATGTCTTGCTGGCAGTACATTTTACAGTGCTGGATGGCATCGGTGAGAGTGAAGAATCCTTATTTTGGTTTTCAGGTGACACCAGGGACTGCAGAGAGAGACGTTTTCTTCTGGAACTGGGGAGATGGACCTGAAACCCAGAAAAAACTGAGCCATTACCTAGAGATAAAGGGATGAACTCCCTGGCTGGGAGAGGGGTAGGGAGATGAACAACCAGGCCGAGACTCAGACTCACATCACCCCACTGAGCGCCAGGGTGCTTCATCCGTCTCCCGACCGGAGTGTGCGTCTTCTCGCTTGCTTATTACATCGTGGTCCTGGAACCTGACCTGCGGCCGAAGGAGAGGTAAGGTTCTGCCCCATCTCACCATGTGAACTTGGGCAAATTGCTTACCCCTTCCACAGCTCAGCCTCCTAATGTGCAAAACAGGCGATGGAAGAGTGCCTTCAGATCAGGTTAGTGCTATTAAACGGTGTCCTTTGGAAGCCCTTCAAGATCAAAGGTCTCAGGGGACAGGGAGAGTGGGAAAAGGTTGTGTTTCAGTTTTCCTTACATCCACATTCATCCCCTGCCCCGCCGCCACCGTGGAGAACAGCTTTTTCTTGCATGAACTATGTGTTTGCACTGCAGGGCAATGTTAGGTCTGCGAAAGGCTTTTCAAGGCTAAGATTGAAAACCCACCGCCGTCGGCCATCTCTAGGATTGCTTCTGCCTCTTATTTTCTGTTTCTGTTTTTCATGAGGTGACATGAGAGTACCTTGTGCTGAACACACGGCGGGAAAAAGGCCCAGAGAGAAGTAAATTGGAAAAATGAGTGTGTGGAGGGTACCAGGGCTTTGGCTGAGGGAACCCCCAGGGCTTGCTTAGGAAGAGGCAGAGGAAGGGTCTGCGTCTCGCTGGAAGGGGTTGTTCTCCCCTACCCCCCACACAGTGGTCTCTCTCAAATGCAAAATTAATTCCTCCTACTTTAGATTACAGGAAGAATCCAGTTTGGAGCACCTATTTCTTACTAAGAGTGTGCTATAGTCTGTAATTTAAGATATATTACCAAAGACAGTATGATAAAAACAGGTGCTGCTAATTGCCGTAGTTGGGATACACACTGCAGGGCTGGTTCCCTGCAGTGACGGTGGCCGTAAATGCTCAGCTTTCTTTATCGCTAGTTGGCGGCAGAGCTTCAGATATTAGCATGTTGTTGTAATAGGTTACCATTGAGATTACTGGTGTTCAAAATATGTGGATTCTAGAAATCTCATATTATAAAAACCCCTCTTGTATTTGCATAGAGCACTGCAATCCAGGGAGCTCAGCAGTCTGTACTCTTCACAGTGGTGCCTGAAGCTTGATTCTGAAACTGCCCTTTATCTGGCGGTGGATCCTGCGATTGCCTGATTCATCCTCTAAAATGAACAGAATCTCCGCTTCCAGAACACCGTCACTTTGGTTTATGCAAGGGCATGGTCAGAACAACTAAGAGGGCAAAGTTTGGGGAGTTCATGCAGTTTATAGAGCAGGTTGTACGCCTCTTTTGTTCCTTTGCAGACTTTGGTTTGAGGCCTGTTTCTGATAGAACCTGGGAGCAAAGTTTTGGGGGCAGAAACTTACATGTTTGCCACTCACAATGGTGGATGCCACCAGCAGCATAGTTATCACCTAGGAGTTTGTTAGAAATACAGAATCGGGCCCACCCCAGACCTACTGAATCAAAGTCAGAATTTTAATGGGATCCCAGGCGATTCATGCACATTCTGTTACAGACTTCACCTACCTCTGACTTCAGTTGTTGATACCAAAAAGAATCTAATAATCGTGAAGCATGAGATTGGTTTAGGCCAGTTTGCAACAGAAAGGAGAGTTTCCAAGGATTTTATGCTGAGAGGAGCTGGGAAGGAAGAGGGAAGGAGAAGCAGGGATGGACGTAAAGCTTAGTAAAGGTTGCAAACTCACATGCTTCCATGGACAAGGCCAGTATGGGAAACAAGGAAAGTGGGCGTGATAGGAACTACTGCGACCTGGAGAATTTGTGCCGCTTTCAAACACAGCCATCACTGCTCCGCTCTGGACGGTTGCCACACAGAAATGTGGGCCCAGCATTGTCAGACCTTCTGACTTTTTCAAGAGCCTGGAACATACATTTTAATGGGAAATTCTCTCATTTTTATTCAGTGAGGCCCAGTAGACTAAATCTAATTCTATCAGCTAATAACAGCTGAGCTTACACAGTCACTAACCGCTTAAAAGGGCTGTGGCAAGTCACTTCTCTCTATTTCTATTTGTGCATTCCTTTCATGGGTTATTATTAGAGAACATGTAATTTCCCAAATCCATGAGGATAATAATGACGTGCTTGGGAGACCTGAGCCAAAGGCTCTGAGAATACATCGCTGGTTTCAGTTGGAGATGATATCCCTTGGAAAGCTGGAAACCTGCAGTTTTCTTACGGGGTCTCAATTTTCTGATGGTGAATCCAAGGGTTTGGAAAACACGCTACTTAACCATCCATTGCTATGTGAACAGGTGGCTACTATAAGCTTTGCAATTTGGTGTTATGTAACTGAGTTCAGAGTTGAGGTGTTTGATTGATAGAATTTTATTTCTCTAGGGAGACACCAGGCATTGGGAGTGAGCAGTGGTAGAGGGTGGGAGAGCTCGGAACCCCCAGGTGAATGTAGTGAGCTGCTTCCCTGGGGACGTGCCTCAGAATTGATCATTTTCAAGGCTTTGTCTAAAGATCGCCTCCATTAAAATCGCTTGGAGTGTATTTTGAAATGCAGAATCCCAGGTGTGATTACAAATCTGCTAAATAAAAATCCAGGGAATGAAGCTATGAAGAAATTTTAACAGACACTCCAGATCATTTTTATAATAATTATAATTGTAGGGCAATAGCATTTCAATGAGATAATGCTAGGTGGTAGCTGATTGTTCTCCATTTCTACTGAAGATAGAGTAAAAAGAAATGCACTTAATCTGCTGCAAAAAGAATGAGACCGTGTTGGAAAGGACAATAGGATTGAGATGCTTGAATGACAGTATCATGCCAGTGAGAGAGCACCCCTGACTTAGACCAGGTCCATATGTTGTCCTGTAAGCCAGTTCTCTGGGAGGAAAAATACTATGACTTGTAGTGTCTCCCTATTTCTGTGGTGCAAATACTCCCATCATGGCCAGTTTCTTGCTACCAACATGTCATCACTGAATGGGAAGTTGGGAAGGGACATGAAGAATTGGCTCTCATGAGCCTGTGCCAGCTGGCTCTAGCTGACCACAGGCAGCCCCTCACAAAGCAGTCCCAGAGGAAGATGTAAGTGCATGGAACAGTTAATCAGTACATACAGGAATCAGATATAAATGTAGCTATGTATCTAAATATAATTATATATATAAATGTAAAAAAAGTATATATATAAATGTAAAAAAAGTATATAATTATATATAAATGTAAAAAAAGTATATATATATATATATATATAATTAATATAGTTTAACCACATAGAAATTTATACGAAATCCCATTGCAGTGTTCCAGATAGCTAGGTGCAAGGTTTCTTTACCTGAAGCCAGTTTACACACCTGGGGCTGTGCTTCCCAAAATGTCCATGTGAATCACCTTTGGATCTTGTTAAAATGCAGATTCTGGTTCCATAGGCTGTGGGGCGTGGCCGGAGAGTCTGTGTTTCTAACAGGCTTCCAGGTGAGGCAGTGATGCTGGTCCATGGACCACTTTGAGAATGTCAGCCGAGAGTCAAAGCAAGTTGACTCATTTTGCCCCTTTCCCTTGAACGCAAACCACAGCCTCAAAACTTATATTCCAAGGGGTTGAAAAGTCATACCTTAGTTAGCACCAGTGCAAACAGAGATGGAGAGCTCCAAACATGAGAAAAATTGTCCTGGTGTTTGGTTAACCAGTTCCACAATGTTCTTCCTCAGGAAGGGAGTAATTGGAATGGGTAGAAAGATTTCTTTTGCCTAGGGACCAGAATCAAAGGGCAGTTCCCTGCCTGTCTGTGTGACTGAAAATAGGGATCATAAACAAAAGCTGACTCTGAAATCTGCTTTACTAAAGATGCCTGCAGACATGATAAATCGATTGCCTATAGAAGCCACATTGGACTTGGGAGGACCAGGGACATCCACTGTAATGAGGGGTTCTGCCTGATGTTCCTCTTTTATATGTACCACTTTAGGGTTCCTAAACAATCTTTTAAGGATTAGGACTGGCTCTTGGGGCTAAGAAAACCAAGTTTGATAGTGAGACAATAAATCTCTCTTCCGATTGAACAAGAATAGAGTGTTTTGAGTGTTTATGGGTATTAAGCATTGTGCTAGTGTTTCGCCTGCTTTTTTTTTTTTTGCCAAATCCCCCACCAATTATACAGGGAAGATATTACTGTCCTAATTCTCAAGTGAGAAATTGAGGCACAGTGATATGATTCCATGTGCTTGATGTCAAAGGGCAAGTAAGTGGTGGAGCCAGAATTTAAACCCAAATCTGTTTCTGCATTTGCTGTGTATGTTTGTCCTTTTTGCGTTTTATCTGTAAACTTTTGTGAATAAGGATTATGCCTTCTCTCTTTATTTCATCATTGAATACCCAGGTAGGATTGTGTCTGTGTGTGTCTGTTGTTTATATACACAAAAAGTCTATACACAATGCTTTGTTTCTTGGAGCTCTTGGGGACTGATAACTGTGCAAATGAAAATGTTAAATCCACATTATTTATATGCTTATATGTTCACACAGTCAATGTGTTACAAATAATTCCAAACTATTCAATAATTATTGTATATAATTTTCAATATGCAACTGATAGAATTGGCTAATAATGTACAAGAAAATGTGTATGTGGTATGGTATGAGCACACATACAGACCACTCAAGGAGAAGTTAACAAACCCAATAGCAGAATGGAGCTGGAGAAGCTCTGTACATCGTAGTGGGCACACGAGAGAAAGACATTTAAAAGCCTGGCAAGGTCAGATCAAGATGATGGAGGAGGAAAATCCTGAGCTCACCTCCTCCTGCAAGACACACCAAAACTACAACTACGTATAGAACAACTGTCTCTGAGAACAACCTGAAGACTAGCAGAGCAGATTTTCTATACCTAAGGATATAAAGAAAAGGCCCCATTGAGATGGGTAGGAGGGGCAGAGATGTGGTCTAATCAGAACCCACACCCCCGGTTTGGCAACCCACAAGCAGAAGGGATATCACAACCACAGAGGCCCCCACTGAGGGGCAAGGGGTCTGAGCTCCACGTCAGGCTCCCCAGCTTGGGAAACCTGCACTGGGAAGATGAACACTCAATATCTGGCTTT